TATCCAACTGTCAAATCGCTTTTCTAACGAAATGCGGTAGCTTATAGGTAATCGATCATGCTGATTCCGAATATGATAGCCGTTTTTCCCCATAGGCCTTTCCTAACCAGTTTCCCAGAAACCTTGAAAAATCCCCAAGAATTTTTCTAAATAAGTCATAACTGTAGCCCGCGAAATTCTGATTAAAATAAGACATCTCCCAGCTCTACACGACCTTTCTTTGCAAAGTTATGAAATTTACACGAAAAGCCCTAAATTCATCTTTGCTTCTTCTTTCTGTAGCTTTGAGGTGACAATAAACATTTAGGGCTTTTCGTGTAAATTCCATAACTTTGCAAAGAAAGATCGTGTAGAGCTGGGAGATATCTCATTTTAATCAGCCTTTCTCGGACTACAGTTGTAATTTATTTGACAGTTGGTTATGTTCCCTCGTGAGAAGAGTAAATAGTAATTTACAAAGATTCCAAGTGAATCTTATGTTTTCTTATCAAGATCCTCATTAGGACTCGCACTGTCTTGCAAGGTTTGGAAACGCTTATTCTTGACAGGTTCTGAACAAGATCCGGATCGAAGCTTGGCAGGATTAGTCAGTTTAGGATTCTGACTGATCTTGTTATTTTCTTGCTAAGATCCTTATCTGATATAGCGATAAATCATGGCAGGATCCTGATACAAAGACTTGGCAAAGATCTTGTCAGAATCCTTAGTAGGAGCGAGAGTAAATCCTGGTACGATCTTGTATTCTGAATTCAGAAAAAAAACCTGAACAAGTACTTGTGGAAATACTAAACAGGATCCTGTTTAATCATGAAAAATCCTGCAAACAGGAATTATTAGGATTCGAGACAAGATCCTGAACTAAAGTTGACAATATCCTTGAGATTCAGGATCCTGAAAGATCCTTCCAGGGTTTCTCAAGGAATGAACAGGATTGAGACTAGAGTTTCTCTACTGTCAGTAATATTTAGTGAAAAATCAACGCGCATTTACTCCTAAATCGGTTACGATAACAAAGGAAAAAGTATTTGGTTACGGAAATGGTTTGGACCAAGGAACTTCGGTTCCACTGCAGGAAAAACTAGCCTCCTGGTCTGTTCTTAGAAGAATCAATGCCTTGATCAGAGAATTAATGACTATCCTTTTTTACATTGAAATAATCTAATCACTGCCCTGAGCAGATCATTTGATCGTTGACTAGAGTTTCTATTAATCAGATAAGACCAAGTAGACGTATATCTATTCTTACTACGGTACAAGAACAGAATTTTATATTTACTTCAAACAATATGAACATCGTTCGTATAAAAAAACCTCACGTTTACCAGTGCTTTAGCCAGAGCTGCAGAGTCTGCCTGTTTGCTCGGACGGTCGTCGGGAGAAAATTTATTGATTCCAGGAAATTTTTTTGAAAAATTGGAATTTCTTTTTGGAAATATTTTGTAAAAAGAAATTCTGTTCGTGAATTACGTCGGGGAAATTTCCCAATCTCACGCGTAGATCCTGCACCTCTGGCTTTAGCGTTCACGTTCAGGGAACAAAACGTGAACTTTTACAGGCCTAGGCATGATTATGAACTGGAATCCGAAAAGTGTCTGTTACCATTACCATTACTATAATAAATTTAACTTTTTGTTACCATTTACCGTCTATTCGCAGGACTAAAAATTCTTTTTTATGGTAAGGGTAAGGTAATAGAACTTTTTTGTTACCGCAGGAGTCTAAGAATTAGAGCGTACGATGTAGTTGAATCTTAGTTTATGATTTAAAGTTGCTAAAGATTCTGTTATTAATGATCGATATAAATTATTAGTGTTAAGCAATATTTTAAAACCGTCTCAATTTCTTTAACGTCCTGTATCAGAAATATGTTTAAAAATATCTGATTTATTTTCTTCCACTGCAGTAGGTAAGATGTCAAGTCGTCATCGTCTGAAAGTGATAGAGTAGAAAGAGCTGATAATTTATTTTATTTTTATTTCTATTCGGAAAGAACGTCTTACTTCAAGTCAGCAATTCGAATTTTTCTGTGAATGTTGTGATCTGGAGTTCGGCATTACATAACAGGTGCTTCATAATAAATGAGCCTCTTGACATTTTGACTATAACTTTTTTTCCTTTAAGGATACAGAGTTATTTCATCTCTCTAAAGGTTCACCGTTTTATTCTCTACAAAAAATATATTGAACAATTTTTTTAATATACAGTAAAAATAAAGGAATATAGTTGAAATACCGTGAAATTTCAACCTTCATTACTTTCGAACTCAAAGCACAACGAAAAAAAATATTTTGAACACGTTGTCATGCATAAAAATGGAATCCAATGTATATCGTTGTATTCTGAAGTGTCATCTTCCTTTTCATGTATCACACCTTCGCTTTTAATGTGTTTTTTTGACACAAACAGCGATTTTATTAAAATTCATCTAAAAGGGAAAATTTGACTTCTTCGCGTTAGCACAGAAAAAGAAATAAAAACCATTATACTTTTTCTGGGTATCGTCCCGATTCGTCGACAAATCGGACACTTCAAAGAATATACATCAAAGAATTTCAAAGGCGGGAGGGGCGGTGTGAGAGTGAGTGTCGACGAATCGGGACTGAATCCTTTTTCTGTTAGGGAGTAACAGAAGAACTACTTTACTTTAAAATAAACAAAATCCAATCTCAAAATATTGGATTTTAGCTGAATTATAAAGAATATCTTATATGCCTCAAACATTCAGTTTGAAAATGATCATTTTTAGTAAAAACGATAAAAAAAAGGAAACTTAATCGCTTGTGATTGTGAGGAGTTTTAAATATGCTCAGTTGATAGAACTTTTTAATAGATACAAAATAGCCATCTTCTCGTTTTTCGTTTCGTAAAATATAAAGAACTGAAACTTAAAAAGCCTTCTTTTGAGTTGGAAAGTAATGAAGATTGAAATTCACAGTAATTCATCTATATTCCTTTATTTTTAGTAGAAAATAAAACGGTGAACCTTTAAAAAGAAGAAATAGCTCTGTAGTCAGTCTTAAAGGAAAATAAATTATAGTCGAAATACTGAGAGGATCATTTATTATGAAGTACTCGTTAGTTAGGTAGCCCTTGGTGTCTACCTTCAGAATTCATGTTGGAAAATCATATACGTACGGTTTTTGAAGAATTTTTGAGAAAAAGCTTTCTAAAAAATTGAATGCCGATATGATCTAGAACAAGTGTTTGCTAGATTAATAGCTCTTGCAATGGAAAAATATTGGAATTGAAAACATCTACTTTTTTTACCACTATTTTTGAAATAACGCTGGAAAAACTCACATTTACAAGTTTAAATGCTTACTCTAATCTAATCTAATCTAGACAAGCCTAATATTCGATGAAAATTTGGTTAAAATCCTGTATTTTGTATCAAAAATAGATTTCTCATGGGAGGGAGTCATTAAGTTGTTCATATTAATACCGTGTGACTCATGCTTTAAGTTTCGCTAACTTGGTTGATCCAGAAAGACTTTGAGTATGTAGTATTGAAGCTTTTGTTGAGATACTAGATTCAAAAACACATTTCGGTGTTTTATATTCTACTTCTCTTCTGCATACTTGTCTTGTAGTTTTACCAACAGACGATGCTATCATAATTATTACAATTAATTGTATGAATTGCAAGTGAATTAGAGAAATTGTCCTTAACTTGAAAAAAATGAATTAACAGTTGTTGGTGATCTCATGATAATTTTTTCAAATCATATTATAATTCAAGTGTTTTTGTAAGATTTGTTAATCTTTTATTGAGTATTTTTGATATGTCTTCTACTAAATCTCTATTTTTTTTCAAAAAAATATATTTGTATTTTTCTATTTTTCTCTCCTGCATTATATACACATGTTATATAGAAGTCATATGTTTTTTAATTTGTTTTGCGTTCTTTAAAAAAATCATTTTTTCATAATAACAGCAATCAGGACTGTAAAACATCACTCTAAAAAAAAATCTGTCTTATTCTATTCGTCTCTACATAGGTCTCAAAATAAGACCTTTTGTTCAGTCTTATCGTCATCCGTGTTATTTTGAGACCTATGTATAGGTCAAATTGCCAATCGACTTGTGGGGTCTTATTTTCAGATCCATTTTTTTAAGAGTGATCAATAAAATCTTGCACAGAATTAGAGAGTAAAAGGTCCTACATTTGATCGGTTTAAAAACCGTAAAAAATTAATGATTTCATACAGTGCTGTTCAGAATTATAGAAACTCTGATGTCCAAGTACGAAAAAACATTGTGAAGTTGGCGCTTGCATTTAGATTAAAAGGTACATTTATCTAGCTGCAACTAGTTGCACTAGGATACATGAAAATTCCATCTAGCTTCAAATTCAGTACGTTGAATCTAGGTTCAGTTGGATACAACTAGGTGCTATCGATTAATCGAACAATTAATTGGTCAATACAGCGGCCGTTTTGGCTAATACACGATTTCAACCTGTATGCAACTAGATAAATGTACCTTTTAATCTAGCTGTAAATGGGTACTGCAGTTATTTTTGCAGCTAGAGTTTCTCGCTTACTTATTCTTGCTTGGGTATTTTTCTTCGATCTCGCTAGCTTGAAGAAAATTAAAAAAGTAGTTTAGAGTAGCTGCTTTGGTCACAAGCTTTTAATAAAATGAATACAGTTTGATGAAAAAATGGTGCATAGAGCTCGAAGATGTCCTAATTTACCAAAGGTTCGATTGTATTTTCATTCGTATTTGTCCTGACTGGGAACTATCTAAACTATTTATAAATTTAATTTTACCAGGAAAGTTAATCATGATTTTTCTAAATCTGGCCAGTACTTTACGATCGTCTTGGTGAAAGAACTAATAGACAAGTACTAAAACAAACACCTTGCATTACTAATGTCACATGTAATTGAAAGATTTCTGGGTACGTTTGTACGTATAAGTACTTGATCAGTTAACAGAGTAAAAGTATGTTCAACTATTTGAATAAGCACATGGTAGAGATATTTACAGTATTACAATGCCAGTAGTCTCAGCAAATTCAACAGGTAGACTGAAAATCTGAATAACCATAATGATTTCTATGTTAGTATTTACTGAGCAGATTTTGAATGATCAAACAAAGAGTAATAAAGAAATTGAAGTAAGCATGTACACAATATCGAATTATACACATGTTAATCTATCAAACGATTACCACAGAGTTGACAGTAACGATAAAAATGAAAATGATTATACAACTGTAGAAAATTTTCTTGAAAAAAAAGGTTTAGTAAATGTGAAATGTTAGAAAAGGACCAGTCTTTTTCTTGTATATTATAATATGCTTTTAACATAACAAATTTGCGTGAAACACGACACTGATTTTGAGTTATTTGACACTAAATTATGGTCAACATCATAATCCGAAGTGATTTCAATTCTAAAACGTTATGGCAATACTGAACCTTGGTGCATGTCACGCCCATCAACGACTTTCATGTAACATCTATCATGGCCAATCTTAGCACTAGTAGGGATTTCAACGTAGATTTGTTTGAAGTTTTTAAATTTTGTTATTGAATACATATAAGTTTAAAATTATTATTCATCCAACATAACAACAGAAAATTTCTTTAAATAAAAAAAGAAAAAGCGAAAATAGTTGATAAAGCATCCCTAGTGGGAGATTGGTATAGGTATTATACATTCATGTTAATAAAGAAAAAATTTCTTTTTCTAATTATACGCACAATAAATACTAGTATAAATACATAATAGTTGGTAGCATAAGTATTTTTATTTTAAAAGAAAACACATACAAGTAATAATGATAATTTTCCTATTGCTATTATTGCTCATACATGCAAATGGTCAAGATGTATGTCTATTAACTGATTCTGATGAATTAGGAAACAATTATGTTCCGAATGCTCCTCTACGAAAATCCTCTCTTTGTGACAACACACCTTCAAATGATCGACTTCTTTTGAGTGGTCGAGTTTATGATTTTAGTAAAAAATGTGGAAATGGTATACCGAACGTCACATTAGAAGTATGGCAGGCGAACTATAATGGATTATACTCAACCAATGAAAATGACTGGACGTGTCGAGGAGTATTTATAACCGATAAATATGGTAATTACAATTTTTCAACAATATTACCCGGACGTGAAAGCGATGGACTCGGTGGCTATCGTCCAGCTAATATTCATTTTAAAATTACTGCTAATGGTTTCCATGAACTTGTGACACAATTATATTTTTATGGTGACATGTTTTTATCACCAAATGATACATGTCAGACGTGTAACAGTAGTTCACCAACATTGGTCATTGAACTGGAATCGATTGAGGATTTCAAGACAGCCGAAGGTTACTGGGAAATTTTTTTAAATCCAATACAATCAATAACATCCACAACAACTCAAGCTACACTATCAAATCTAATACCTAATATTATTCAACATATTATTGAACCAGCAATCCAAGGCGCCATTGACAAGGTGCAACCTATCGTTGATGACGCTAAACCAATTATCAAAGAAGTAGGAGGGGATATCCAAACAATAAACAATTTTTTTAAGAGATTTGGTTAAATTAATGTGAATATCATCAATAATTCAAAGACACATCACTGGTTTTTTGTGTAACGTTTAACGAATGAAGATAAAGCTTTTGATATGTGATTATATAGGAACATTTTTTCAAAATCCTTTACAGAAGTTTGCTTTTTGAGGAGTCTTCCCAGGTCGAAGCTCTACGGCCGTAAACTATAGTATACGTTGAAATACGACGAAACACATATCCATTCCAGATAAAATACATCGCCGTAATCCTTCTCCACAGTAGACGTCATCGTATTTCGTCGTAAACAGCTCGTATTTTGACGTATACTACAGTATCCATCATCATAAACTGTAGTATACGGCCATTTACCGCTGTAGTAATCATTGTCCTGGGTTTCGAAAACGAGATCGGTAGCCTCTCAGTTACCATGCGGTTCTCTTATATGAATGGATGACATAAAATGTCATCTATTAACTAGGAGCTTGTCCAATCATTGACAAGTCCAAACTGATAGTTTATGTCACTAAGCTGAGTTTTGTGGTCACGTTTGCGTTCATAAAACATCATAAACACTTTCGTCGACAAAAACTCTATTTGTCGCCAGTGAGGCTTAGACACCTAACATTCACATCCTACCGGGATAAATTTCTTCTCTTGCTTTGTGCATTTTACCAATCAATATTTTGCACTATTTGTTGTCGATCTTACATGAGAGCCGTATCAAATAAGGAATATATCTTTTCACATCCTGGCAAATGTTAGCACATGTCTAGACATGTGCTAACATTTGCCACGATGTGAAAAGATAGAGGTATTCCTTATTTGATACGGCTCTATGATCTATTGCAATAAAAAATATCGTTTAAATTAACAGAACAGAGAGAAATAGAAACAAAAATTGTTCTTTATTCATAACAATTGCTTGAATCAATTTGTTACGTGCAATTGGCTATTACTTCTAATTAAACAATGCTCAAATCAGCCCAAATTTCAGGCAAAGTATAACTGTATTAAGAATCTATTCAATTATCAGTAAGACTTTCGTGAACGTTAATCATAGAATAAATCAAAATTTACCTCAAAGTAGTGGCGGAGCCAGAAGTTTGATCTAGAGGAGGCTCAGCCCAGAAATTTTCTAAACTCCGTCAGAGGTAAACTCATTTAAATTTAATGCTTGAAATCTATAAATTTTTTTGAGGGGACTCAGTCCCCTCTCGCCCATAGCTGGCTCCGCCACTACCTCAAAGACGAGTTTTTCAAAAGATTCTATCAACCTGTTTTGAGCGATTTTCTCCTTCGAAATCCATATTGAATTCTTCTGCTCGTAATCCAACTCGTGGTATGGAAAATCGTATGTTTTTTATGATCTAAGAACCAGCAGAATTTTCTATTCGAGTAAAATATTTTTTGAAAGAAGTTCGTTTTTCAACAATATTTTAGTGCGTCTTACTATATGCATTATGTAAATCGCATCGAGTTGCATCTAAATTTATATTTTCTCCAAAAACGTTACTTCGGACATAGTCAGACTTTGTTAGAACTATGACGATTGTTAGTAGTGTTTTTTCACATCTCAAAGTTGTATACCCATCATGATCCGCTTTTTCAACACTTACTTATTGAACATCTTGGAGAGAGCAAATACGACTGGAGTAATCTCAGTATGTATATCTCAGCTATGTTTTCGGTGTTATTTAAGGATTAAAGGATTCACGAATACATGTATGTAAATGATAATGGTAGTTAAAACGTTTATGGTTCTCACAGCGTAAGTTTGACAAGCTTTTACATATGAATAACCGTCGTCGGCCATCGGTGGTCAATCTTTCGTAGTTCTAGTCATTTCACATTGAGAAGTCCTGGTACGGAAAATTTCAAAATACTATAGTAGTATAGGCGTGTATTGTTTACGAAACATCATCGTTTAGTTAGTTTATTCACAATAATTAATTCTGTTCTTTAAACACTTTAGATTAAAACCAACACTCTGATTACAGAACATCATCAGTTTCAATTTCTGTCTCATTATGTGACACGTACGCAAGCGTTCGTGCTTGAGAATCTGGTGCGTAAGATTTCGATGCGGAACATTCCACGTGTGTAAGGTACCCGTGCATATGATTCCGAGCGCAAGTTTCCTCATGAGCAAGCATCGTTCTGAAACACGTTATTTAAGTAGCTGCATGGCAAAACAACAGGATAAATGAGAGAAGAGTCATCAGATCTCGTATAAGAAATTTATGGTAATTTCAATCATGTCAAAAACAGTGTCATAACAGAAAAGCATCGCCCGTCGTGTCAGTTTTATAACAAAACATGAAAGTGATGCAGTTCGACTTCCGACTGTCAACAGAGCTGACCGTTTTTATTGGGAATGCGTTAAAACGAAATCTGGATCATCTTCAATATCTCTGAGATATTATTAATGAGGTGTAAGCTAAACTAAGGATCTCCACTTGTCAAAAAAGTCGAATGAAATATTCAAATTCTAGGTATTTTATGATACTCATGCCATTAATATATTGAATATTTTATAAACATTTAGATTTGTAGAACAAGCTTTTCTGGTCAAAATAAGATGCAGCACAACTCTGTGCGACTTTCTGTTACAAACTTACACACCTTTTCCTTCAAGCCCTAAAGTACATTAACAAATGTACAGCATTTTTCTCAAAATCGTTTTTTTCTAAAAGTAGCTGTTACCATTTCCAAGATTTCTCTCTTTCAAACGCTACACAGGTTGAGTTGATCTTAAAATGACGAGAAAACTGTGACGGATTCTAGCTGTGATGTAAAGGAGCTGGATTTTTAGTAAAATGAGGATTTCTTTAACACTTGAAATAGTGGAGAAATGTTAGAATTAGAAACATCTACTTTTTGACCACTCTTTTTTGAGATAACTCTAGAAAAACCCACGTTTACAAGTTTAAATGCTTACACTATCTAATCTAGGCAAGCCTAATATTTTATGAAAATTTGGTTAGGATCCTGTGTTTTGTGTCGAAAATACATTTCATTCGGGAGGGAGCCCTTAATATAGCGATCAGGTCTGAATAACCAAATTTCATAACTGGTATAATTATCGTTTGACTTTAAGCTATTTTCTGGGAAAATATTCAAATAAGAGTTCTAGTTTAATAATTTTGAATAATTGCAGAAACTAACACGTTTGTTCACCTGTATTAAAGAATGCTCGATCAGTACTCCAATTACTAATAATGCTTTTCAAGGATTCTGATAGAATCCAATTCACAAATAGAAAATACTATTCAGATCGAAGATTTTAATCACTCATAGAAATAGATTCTAGCGGTAACTCTTGTACATTATGTAGTAAATTAGAAAATCTGTTTGTAGTGAAATCAATCTCAGTCGTCTCTCTACTTCGAATCATAATTAAGTTGATTATTTAGTTGAAAAAAAATAAAAGGAGATAAATCCATTCCAGAAATAACAAAATTTGTTATACATGTTAATGACAGACCTATTAAAAATAAAATATAAAAAATTGTTCTTAACATCTATGAAGATAGATAGTTATTTGATGTTCATATTTTCTCAAGAAAAAGGCGAATAATTAATAATTTTAAATATTCTATTTCTCATTTTAAAAAAAAGTAGGTTCTTCATGTCACATAGTTAATACGACAGTGTTGTTCTGTCTTAAAGAATCATGAATTCAACACCAGTTGCCATTGATCCATTAGTATACGCTTACAATCAATTGGCTAATTATTTCGTTCCGGTACTTTTCACATTGGGCACTATTAGTAGTATCTCTAATGTTGTCATATTTACAAGAAAAACCTTACGCACATCACCATGTTCAATGTATTTTCTGGCTGCAACTATCAATAATTTTTTTGTTCAATATTATATTTTATTAGGTACAATTATAACCGCTAGGATGAACTACGATTTCACACAATATTCATCAATCTATTGTAAAATTCGATCATATATAGCCTATATATTGTATGCTCTATCACCTTACTTCACAGTTCTTGCATGTGCCGATCGTTACTGTTCATCATCATTAAATTCAAAACTGCGTAATCTAAGTAAATTATCTATATCGAATCGTTTAATACCTGGTACAGTTATATTCACTTTAGCACTATATCTGCATATGCTATTTAATTATGAAATTAATCATGGAATGTGTGGCCCAAAGGATGGTACATACGCTCAACGATTGAGTATATTGTCACTATTTACATTTTGTATTATACCACCAGCACTAATGAGCACTTTTAGTATACTCTCGTTTCGAAACATTAAACAACAACGTCGTCGAATCATGCCGGTAAATGCTACAGTAGGCGGAGTAAAAATGAGACAACGTGACGGTCAATTATTGAGAATGTTATTTTTTCATGTATTAGCTGAATTTATATTAGTTACACCATTTTCCATTGCCTATTTGATATCAACAATAAATACGCAATTCTATACTAGCAATGTTTTTGGATTCATATTTAAGGTGCTTACACTCATAATGTATTTGAACTATACGACAAATTTTTTTGTTTATATTATTTTAAATAATGTTTGTTTAAATTTTTAATCAATGTTACTTTAGGTAATGAATTCGCCTTCAT